AATTCCTTTCGATACAGTGACTCAGTATATTCTTTCCATCTTCTTTTAATACTTCCTGGATCATTTAATAGTCTGCCTAAAGCATCCTTGATTATAGCAATTCGAGTTTTGAATTTGTTCTTCAGTCCCATGGCAATACGTCTTTTAATTTCCTGGCTACTGGTGCCGAGAGTGGAGCCAAGCAAACTAAAGCGGTGAACAATCTCAACCTCTTCACCATCCATTCTGATGCTGCCAATTGGTCCAGTCGTGAGAATCTTTGTCTTCTTGACACTGAGCCTCAATCCATTAGAAAAATTGTTCTCAAGCTACGCTAATTTATTAAAAATAGTTAACTACCTGAAAACTTTGAGATGGATTAGTAAACTAGCGTGTGACAGACTTTAGGTTACTATACTGAAACTGACACTTTCTCTGTAAATTCAGCACTCTGTGCTCAAATGTTCCCATAATTATGAATTGTTTATGGTTAAACAAATGTTCCTTGAATTCTTTTTATTACACAAATGTCAATAATGTTAATAGTAAAGACAATAAAGCAAAAATTTCAGGAATTGTCATAGCAAACTAATCACCGGTTAGTCAGCTGACACGATTTAGAGTCAGTTCTCATTTGTAGAGATCTAGTTACATTAAGGTATACATTTTACTAACCTTTTCATTGACCACTTCCCCAGTTTCATTAATGGGTGCTCTGGAATTCCCTTTGACTGGTTTACTCCACTCCACAAGAGGATCATGTAGAAAAGTCTTAAGGACACTAAAATGGTAACAAATATTAAGATAATAATACATATTATGTTTGCAAAAAGATCTGACAAGGATTAGCAGCTATGAGAATACTGTTTTTTACATTACTACTTTTCTTAGTAATGTGAAATTATTGTTTTGATGTGAGGGGCAAGAAAGGGAAGTAAAGGGGCAAAATCGAGGTGGGAACTTTTAAAAGTGCAGGGTTGGTCTGTGAGGAGTAGATTCGGATAAGTTCTATGTGCCATCCCTAAATGTTTTGGATCTTGAAGGCATTCAAGGCCACCAGCTATTCCACGGGAGAAGAATGGGCAATCTTCTCCCGTGTGCTTAATTCCCTCTGAAATCCCGCTGGAGGGTCAGCTATGGGTTGTTTCTGACTCTATGGTACACAACAACTCAACATATAATGAATAAACACATTTTTCCATTTCCATGTCTTTAATAACCTGAGAGCTCTGGTGGCCTAATGGTAAGGAGTTGCAGTGCCAAATGACAGGCAGCGTGTCTGAATCCACCAGCTGCTCTGAGGAAGAAAGATGAGCAATTCTCGGTACGATGTACAGCCTCTTAAAACCAGCTATGAGCTAGTTCTGATTGAGAGCACATAACAACCACCACATAGAGACTCAGTCGATTATCTTCTGTGTTCTCCATGTCAAATTTAACTATTTATGGGAAATATTCACTTGGATTCTTTTTTTTTTTTTTTTTTACCAGTACCTCAAATATAGTGACGTTCAAAACAAACCCTTTCACCAAACTTATTATTTCTCTGGTACTCAGCAGTAAAAGACAACATTAATCTATCAATCATTCCTGCTTCCTCTCCTTCTAATAAGCAGTTCTGACTCTTTAGAATCTTTCTACTTACCTTTGTGAGCCCAATCCTACCGGTGTGCCATCATTTTTCCCCGAGTTACTGCAACCTTGTAAATAATTTTCTAGCCTCTTGTTGGAGCCTATCTAGCAAGAACCTCCTTTTTCCTACAGTACAAATCTTACTATCTCATTTTCTCCCCCTCCCCCCTTCTTAAACAGCCTCTACTACTTACGGCTACTTCGGGAGCAATGGCCCTCACACGGGTGCTTCATCTATTCAGCATCACCTCTGTGGTCCCTCCTGTACACAGTACTGAATTTTCAGGTGCGTCATGTTACAACTTGCCTTGATATTTCTACCTTCTCCCTTGTGAGGTGAATTTTATTTTTAATGTCTTGGCTATTTATACCAGAAATGCTGACCTTCCAGAATAGGAAGGCACTCCTAGTCCATGCCCATCTTTATCTATGTGGGTCTAACTAATAAGTCTTGTTACCGACAAATCAGAACTGACCCAAAGCTGATGCTCTAGCAGGTTTTCAGAGGCAGTAATTCCTAGGAAAGGAGATTGCCCATCTTTCTCCTGCAGAGCAGCTGGGGGTTTTGAACCATATTCCTTTGGGTTGACAGCACAACTCCTTACTACTAAGTTGCCAGCACTCACTCCCTAATTAACCAGAGTATTCCACCACAATGCTTGAGAGTCAGCTTTTCTACAAAGATGGAAAGTAAATGAATCTCAAAAACCTTTAGAAAACCACCTCCTACAATGTGGTGTAGTGGGTTTATGGTTCAAAATGGCTTTCCTAGGCTGTTGCATTGGACTTTTGCTCTGTGGCTAGGTGGAACACGCAAACAGGATGAATACACTAGCAATGAGACGACTGACCAGTCTGCCATCCCACTAGGTTTAAATGGAGTAGTTTCAGTGGCAGAAATTGGGTATTTCACTCCCAGTAAGAAAGAAACAAAGGCTGTAGTGAGTGTCGTTTGAAAGCACAGAGATGCCTGTGCTGACCATAGCAAAAGCTACAGGAAAGCAGCAGCAGGAACCAGAGACTGACATGAGCAAGAACTGGCCTGGATCTGCTGCCCTATGGAGCCATTCACCCTGGAACACAAGAAGAGTGTGGACTCCTGAGTTTGTAGCTGACCTAGCCCTCGATGGCTTGAGAGGTTGTGATCTGCAATGTGATGATCTGCTCTTGACTGGACCTTGCTTACGGATGCGACGCACAAAGTTTTAACTGGAACCGAAGATTCTTCAGAGAAAGGAACATGCTTGTTTCTTCAGAGTAACTGATATGATATGGATGGGTAAGTCAGAAATTGGCTGCCTAAAAAATGGGAGTGATTAAAGCATGAGGAATGAAGCTGCTGATTTCACAAATAAAGCTACTGTATATTGTACGGGGGGAAGTTAATCTTATGTATGTGACTGTTATTGGCCAGAAAAGCCAGAGGGGGGCCTGTGGAGTTTTTCTCTCTATACGGCTTTTCTAGTGCAGATGACAGACTATGTGGAGGGGTGGCACTGTGCAAGTGAGGCATGTTGGCCTCTCCACAGAGGGAATGGATATCTACCCTTCCACTAGAGGACTGGCTAGTTTTATCAATAAATTGAACTCGAGCTGCAGAGAATAGGAATTCTTCCTGCACCACCAGAAGACAGACCTCCCCCAACTCAGTGAAATACAGGACATGCTTTGGTAGGCCAGCAGCAGCGATGGCTGAACTGGAGAACTGCATGTGAAATGGGACTCTGGGATGGGGAGAGCCAATACTGGCAAACTGAGAACCTGGGAACACTTAGATCCATGTGGGTTGAGGCTGAAGTGCCTGCTGGCATATTCTGGAGCTGTCTTGACTGTATTTTTAGAAATGTTTTTGTACTGGTTTATTTACAAAGTTTGTATACATTGTTTCTCACACTGGTTCTTTCCCATTAGCTTCACCCATCCCTCCCTCCACCCATCAAACTGTGCAACCCTATGATTAACCAGCCCTAACTCCCACCCATCCTCTCTCTTCTGCTCCCCCTTCTGATCCTCATACTCCTTCTTCTACAATAATGTTGACTTTATTTTGCTATTAGACTGAATTAGAACATTTTAACTCCTCCCCCCCAAAAAAGACGTGACACAAGAAAGGGCAGTGATAGCCATTTCACACTTGTTGCTGGTGTTAGGTGCAATCAGGTCAACTATGGCACACAGCAACCTTGTGGACGTGAGACGGAAACCTTCCCTATTCATCTTCACCATCTCTGCAATGCCTGAGGCCACCGTCAACACTGGGACAATCCAACTCATTGGGGGTGGCCCTCTATTTTGCTGACCATCTACCATATACTCTATGTGTTTTTCCAAGTACCAGTCCCTCCTGATGACATGCCCAAAGTATGGGAGACAGAGTTCAACCATCCTTGCCTGGAGGGAGCACCCTGGCTGCAGTTCCTCCAAGAAAGATTTGTTTGTTATTTTGGCAGTCCATGCTATATTCAATACTTTTGGCCGATGTCACAATTCAAAGGCTTTGATTCTTCCCCCCCTTTTCCTTCTTTGTTTATGTGTCTGTATATTGCTAAGAACTGTCCCCTAAGAATTGCCTTAGCTGCATCCCGGATGTTTTGGTATAATGTATTTTCATTTTCTTGTGTCTCAAGCAATTTTTTTTATTCCATTCTCTTTCTCCTTTATAACCCAATCACGTTCTAGCAGAGTTATTCAGTTTCTACATGGCTCGCTTTGTAGGCTTTACCCTCCTGTGGTTAATTTCTAGTTTTATGGTGCTGTGGTCTGAGAAGATATTTTGTATTATCTCAATGTTTTTGAATTTGCTGAGGCTTGCTTTGTGTCCTAATATGGGATTGATTCTAGAAAATGTACCATGTACACTCGAGAATAAAGTGTATTGAGTTTTAGTTGGGTCACAAGATCGAGTTAGCTAATTGTATAGTCATGCTCAACTTGATAGCAATTAACAACAGCAAATAAATATATAAAATTTTAATTTTTGAAAACTTTAGCTGTGCTGTCAATTTTGACAAAAAGAATACCAGTTGTACTGTGTTGAGTTGGCACTGTGCAGAAATTAAGTCACTGGCCTAGCAATCTTAAACTTAATTTTCCCCCTCCCTCATTTGTACAGGAATAATGCATTGTATTAAATATGTACAGTTTTATCTATGTGGGTTTGATTAATAAAGTATTCTAAATTTTTTTTTAAAAAGTATTATAGCCTGGAAAATCTGACAGGATACTTCTATCAGTCCTATAAGATCACGGTGACTTGGACCCAATTAGAAAAGGAATTTAGAAATGATAAAATGACCCCTGGTGCTAGAACAATTAAGTGTCCAGTGAACCCTTCCAAAGGCTCACCAGAGCAAGAGCTGGTGATGGCGTTCTACAAAGACAAGGGCAAAGAACACCCTAAGAAGCTCCCTGGCTGCTAACTGAGAAAATCCTGGAAGTGAGTTCTGGGTCATATGAGGTTGCAGCAACTCAGAATCAACCCAACCATAAGACGAGTACATTGGCATGGGTGGTGCAAATGGCTAATGCTCATGTCAGGTGCGCAAAGGCTTGAGTCCTCCTGGAGGTGTCTTAGAAGACAGGTATAGTGATCTACTTCCTGAGGCCCTGAAAGCCTTACAGAGCAGACTGAAAATGCATCTGACACGTGGGAAGATGATACCATTAGCAGCACCTGGACCTAAGATGCATAAGATTAAAGTGCATAAGATTAAAATGCATAAGATTAAAATAGACAGTAACTAGTATGGACAAGATGTGAAGAAACTGGAATCTCATACAGTTAGTAAGATTGTACAATGTTAGGGCTGCTCTGGAAGACAATTTGGAAGTTCCTCAAAATCTCTCTCTATGGATTCATTATGTTGTTAGTTATATGCTGTCAAATAGGAATCGACTCATAGGTGACTCTCCAATGGGTGTTTAGAGGCAGTAAACTGCCACGGAGTTGAGTTGTTCATCTTTTTCCCAGAAAGCACTCAGTGGATTAGAGCTGTGTGTCTTTGGGTCGATAGCTCCCTAGGGTGAATATTTAATAATTCCTGGATATATGCAAAAACTGAAAACATATATCTATACAAACACTTGTAAATATATGTTCATAGCAGCATTATTTATAATAGCCTAAAGGTAGAAAACCATTCAAATATATGTCAGCTGATGCTCCATAGCCAAAAAATGGACTATTACTCAGGAATATAGAGGAACAAAGTCCTGTCTGATACATGTTACAACATGAACCTTAGAAACATGTTAAGCAAAAAAAGGGAGACATAAGAAGCAACTCAGCTATTCAGCTGCTTGGACTATACCCTGAGAAGATGAGAACTGAGGTACAAACAGAGACTTGTACACCAATGTTCACAGCAGTGTCATTCACCATAGCAAGAACAAGGAAACAACCCAGATGTTCAACACAATCGAATGGATTGAGAAATTATGGTACATTCATGCAAAGAAATAGTATGCAGCATGCAAGAACAATGATTTTGTAAATTACTACCTAACTTGGGAGGGACTGGAAAGCATTATGCTGAGTGAACTAACTCAGTCGCATAAGGACTAATACTGTATAAAACCATTATTATAGAATGAGTATGAGAAGCCAAGGGGGGGAAGGGTAGTAGCAAAGGGATGAGGATGGGGGGAAGGGCATTAACCATGGGGTTGTAAAATTTGATGAGGGGATGGGGAAAATTGGAAGAACCTGGTATAAAAAACAATGTATTTCAAATTTTTAAATAAATTAGTGTAATAGTTTTAAAAAAACGACAAAAGAAGGCAACATATAACATATTTCCATTTAAGAGTAGGTTAATGATAAAGACAGAAAGTTTATCAGTGGGTTCTGGAAGGATGATAATAAGATCTTAGACAAGTTGCTAAAGGCTGTGGAGTTTTTTCCAAAAGTGGTGAAAATATTTTCATCATTTCTGATGAAAAACAACCACGAAACTGAACAGTTAAAAGGGTAAAGAAATTATATCTCAACAAATTTATTAAAAAAATCTACTCTAAGGCTGATTCAAAGAGGTTTCTATACAAAAACAGTTAGGAAACCATAATTCTATTCAAGTTTACTGTTAAAATATTTGTGATATGTAAATGACTACCTCATTAATGGTTCTCTCTGATCGCGCATCAGTCTCAGTGTAACTTCACAAGCTCTTCGAAAAAGACCTTCTGTTCCCATAGGGCCCATTCCATTAACCATGTTATGAGTCAAGCGAAATGGTACAATTTCTGGAACTTCAAATGTTTCTCCCTTTAAAAAAAACCAAAACCAAAAACCCCATCAAAAAAAAAATCTTATTAAAAATAACTTCATTTAAAATTTAATGTAAAATCTTTTTCAAAGACTTTAGAACATCAGCCATCTCTATTTTCTTGGCAAACATAAAAATGCTCTTTAAAATACTTTTATTTGTAGCTATGTTAGATGCATATATTAGGAAAGTGCTGTGTGACCTTTAATTTTGGGGAACTAAAACCACAATCTTGAGGATAAACTCATCTTTCATCATATCCTGTATAGGAAGAGTATTAAAGAGGCATTCTTTTTTTTTTTTTCTAAAAAGGCATTCTTATACAGCCAATATTTACTTTCATATCAGCTTTTTAAAAATCCTATTTAATGATACAAAATCATTCTCATATTTTCCTCCTTTTTAAAGGCTTTCACTTCAAAACAGGAGAGCAGAAACAGCCATGTAAACAAATATCAGATGATTCATCTCTCAGCACAGAAACAAGACAGGTCATATACCTCTAACCTTCTTGGTACAGAATTTTTTCACACCTTCAATCACTCACTCACTCATTGCCACTGAATTAGAGTCGACTCTTAGGTGATTCTTCACATTGTCCTTACATTTGTATCTTGCTTTAACCTATGATTTAACTCATACCACTTGTTTATCCCTGACATCTTCTCCATTGGGTTTCAAACCTTTTAATTTCCTTTAACAGTAAATGAAAATAAATGAATGGAGACAAAGAAAATGGTGGGCTTTTTACCAGTCTGCCTTTTAGAAAACTGGAGAGGGTCGAGAGGATGAACACAAATTTATTCCCAGGCACTGAAATGACTTCAAAATCTCTGGCTGTTCTCTAGCTACTTTTTACAAACTTTGAGATGACTTTAGGATACTACCAATTTTGGCATTCATCACATTAAAATATCTTGTTTCTCTAAAACTAAATCTCCATAAAATGAAGTTACTGGCTCATATTCCTGTAACTGGGTCAGAACTTGCACCTACAACTTTGAACTTCAAGTTCAATACTAGTTTTACTACATATCTCTTCTCCATCCATCCTATATTGCTTTAGACTCTTAAGATCCATTGCTGAAGGTCAGTCAACAAACTCTAAGTTTATTATAGTCTGTGACTGTAAGTACCATTTGAGCTCTGGTGGCCCAGTGGCAAGAGGCTGCACTGCAATCTCAAAAGTATGCAGTTCAAATCCACCTGCAGCTCCACAGGAGAAGGATGGGCAATCTCTTTCCATGCAATTAAATGCCTCTGAAAACTTGCTGGAGGGTCAGCTATGGTATGGTTCCGACTTAATGATGCACAACAACACATACATTGAGGAAGGGCAGAAAACATAAATTTACCAGTGTAGGTCGCACTGCATACCTTATTGAAGAGACAGTTGAAATCCACATGGACACATTCACCAGTCAAAGAATCAAAGAGAATGTTTTCACCGTGACGGTCTCCAAGCCCCAGGATGTAACCAACCATGGACATTACCGCTGTGGATCGGCAATAGGCTGATCTGCTGCTGTACCTAAAGGAAACAGAGCCTACCAATAGCTGTGATGCCATCTGAGGCAGTAACATCTAACACATCACAAATCCACATCCAGCTATAACAATGTATTTCCAGCAACTAACCAGGATGTTGGATCAGGGAAAGTTCTCAGAAACCACTCATGGAAAATAGGAGGATGCCTGGGCAGGAGAAATTCCCGGAAGACTTTGAGCTTTTCAGTTAATGCTGCCGCCTTGGGCAGCATGCACTGGCGAAGCTCTTTTCCTGTCATGTACACTCCTGCAAAACAAGGGAATTTCTATTGAATTAACCCACATGAGAAAAAACAGCAAACTGTTGTTAAACATGACAGGGAACATCATCTTTTCTTCAAAATATTATTAAAAACCAAGAATAAATAGTTTCTCATGGGTAAAAGAACCATGTACAATTATTACAAACCAAATTATATCCCTTGATACTTTAAAGTGAAGCCTGTTATGTCCATGTTTTGGAACCTGACACTCCAGAAAACACAACACAGAACAAATATAATGCGAATGGTGTCCCATGGGACTGTTAAAAAAAAAGGCAATTAATACTATACTGTATTATGTAATGTATAATGTATTCGAAGCAGGAGTGGCATCCACTTCCTAAACATGCCTCTGAAAATGTATGAACTTTGATAAATATCAACAGTTGTAGAGGGGCTTCAAGCCTTTTGTTCTTAGGGTCGCTATGAGTCGTGCTCGACTAAACGGTTATCAACAACATCAACATAATGAGATTTTGGAGAGTCCACATAGAGTAAGGACTCAAACTGAGTTAGTACTAAGAAATCCATGTTGGTGTTCTGACATATTTACTCAGTGTGAAGGCTAGGTTATAATACTCCTGTTTCTTAAATGAATTCTGTTCTAGCTATATCATTTGGATAGGCAGAGGAACTTTGCCAGCTGATAAAGTCTAGATCTGCAGACTATTTTTGTAATGTACCTTCACATCAGATCCGAATCAGAGCAGAACTTCCAGCAGGCTTTCAGAGCAGTCAGTCACACAGAGGGAAGCTGCTCATCATTCTCCTGCAGGGCAACTGAAAAATGCAAACTTCAAGCCTCTGGCTTGGCAGTACAGCTCCTTATCACTTAGGCACTAGAGCAATATGAATTTTGACAAGTAACCTTTCTGGTCTTGACCATGCTGTTGTTGTTAGATGCCATCAAGTTGACTATGACTTCTCTCCTGTGCCATCCTCATCGTCTCTGATATACTTGAGTCCACTGTTACAGTCACAGTGTCATTTCATCTTGCTGAGGGTTGCCCTCTCCTGCTCCAACCTCTCCACCCTTCCCAGCAGATGTCTTTTCCCAAGGACTGGACCATCATCATAAGAAAGCATATGAAATAAAGTTCCACTGTCGTTGCCTCTAAGAAGCACCATGTTACAATTCTTCCAAGAGAGAACTGTTGGTTCTTTTGGCAGTCCATTTAATACTCTGCGGCAATATCACATTTCAAAGGCTTTAATTCTTCTTTGATCTTCCTGATTTACAGTCCTACTTTCATATGCTTTTTCTTAAGAGGGTACAATTTGTTACCTTGTGGAGATTCTTTGAAATTACAACCAACATGTTTCTCCATACTTTGCTCACTAATTTTAAAATCCATTGACAGCTTTTACATATAATGGCATTGTTGTCAATTAATGTTTTTCCATTTCTAAAATTTCATATTTATTTATTATAATTCAATTATAAGGAAATACTGTTCCTTCTTTCTCTTTTATTTACTTACTGGAGTATTTCTCTGCATTGTTAGAGCTTGTGTATTTTATTTGCTTCATGAGTTAAAACATATTATGTATTTTGTTGTTTAAATTTTAAATTACCCTACATTTGATCAGTGGGAGCTTCTTCAAGCTGGTTAACATATATCTTTCAACCTGTCTGTAAATTTAAGAGAACTTACTTTTTGATACTAAAAAACGTCAAGGACCAATCAGTTTATATTCTTCTTGCCTTAATTTTCAAGGACATTTTTTCAAGGAGCTCAAGTTCCTTTTATTGGAAAATGAATGACAGGTGTACTTTTTGTCAGTAGAGTATCACTGCTTTTAAGACCTCTCATTAGACACAGCAAGGGAATTTTATGTGTGTGTGTACACATCTGTATTTATATTTTAAAGAACTTTTGTTTATACAGGTATCTCTGATTATAATTTTGCAAGTTTCTTTCTAGCCTTCTCTCAATTTCTTTTTTCCAACAGTTACAAAAGGAGCTCTTACTGTAGACAGTATATTTAGTTATCGGCCAAACACCCATATAAATATAGAACTGTTTTAGAATTACTAACCAAGACTGCTTTAAAAAAATATTTATAAACTTTTATGACACTACCTCAAACACTTTTAGAATGAAGATATGAAAGGATTCAAAACACGAATAAAGAAAAACAATTTTTAAAACTTCACAGAGATAGATATATTAGTAACAATTATACCCACATTACATATGTTAGTAGCTGTTAAACTTATATATTTATAAAAATCCATGTTAGTACCTTTTTCCTTATATAGTTTGGTCAGAATAGGTCTTAAGCCAGCAGTGTTGTTGACCCATTCAATAATCCCACATTCATCATTCAGTGGGATAACAGCATATGTTCGAATATGGAGTTCTCTTCTTCGAGATTCGGCATCTTTCCTTAAGCACTATTAAAAAAAGAAAAGCACATAAAATTAAAATATTATCTTAAATATAGTTAAAGATTATTCATTCCACAGGAGAATAATGTCAAAATAATATGAAAAATGGTATATATGAGTAACTTCTCTATAAACTAGTATTAAGATTTTGTTTTTGTTCTATTATATATGGTCAAGTCAGAACTGACTCATAACTGACCCGCCAGTGGGTTTCCAAAGGCTGTAAATCCCACAAAAGGAGACGGCCCATTTTTGCTCTACAGAGCAACTGGTGTATTTGAACCACCTGCCTTTGGGTTCACAGTGCAACAACTTACCACTAAGACAAAGAGGCCCTAATCCAATGGCAAGTAATTAATATGTCTTTGGTAAGTAATTTTTTTTATTGTTATATCAATAAAGAGGCAAGAGTGTTATACAAAATACTATGGTGTTGTTGTTGATTGCCGTTGAGTCAAGCATGGCTCATAGTGGCTCTATGAACAAAAGATCTGAACCATCGTCTTTTCTCAGCGTTCATAGTTTCCAGAGGCACATTGTTTAGGAAGTGGATGTCACTTCTGCTTCCAAAATACTATAGTAATATCTTTAAAAATGAAAAAATACTTGCATACCCATGTTTATTGTAGCTTTGTTCACAATAGCAAAGAGCTGGAAACAACCCAAGTGCCCATCAACAAATGAATGGATAGAGAAGGTCTGGTATAGTCACACAATGGAATACTATGCAGCACTGAAAAACAAGGAACTCATGAAATATTATGCAAAATGGGTGACCCTGGAGGACATTATGCTGGATGAAAGATCTCAGTCACAAAAGGACAAATATTGCATAGGGCCACTGTTGTAAAACGGGACTGACATCAGGTTTGAGGGATGCCAGAAAAGGAGGGGAGGAATGATGTATACTGCATTGAAACAGATGAGGGAGAAAACTGTTTAAAAGAGATAGATGAATGGGTATTCTTGTCATTTCAGAAGTCCAGAGTGAAGGCTGCTAAGTGGAGTGGACTTAGGGGGTAGGGATTGCATAACAATGAAAGAGTTTTTCTTTCTTTTCAAGGAGAAGAGTGAATGGGGGGGGGAGTAGGTAGGGAGAAAAATGCAACAATGAGTAACTGGAAACCCTTAGTCTCTGTAAATGTTCATTAAAATTAAAGAAAAAAATTTAAATATTTTTTTCCCAGTGGTTTTTCAGAAACATTGTGTTTCATGTAATTATTCATATTATTTTAAAATATTTTACAGAAAACTAAATGTTAAGTTTCTAGACACAAAGGAATTTTAATTTTAACTTTTAATTGTGAGAATTTAAAAATTACATGAACGAAGCCCGTAAGTGCTGATATCCCAAACTGTACTTTTTTCTTTTGCAATTTAATATTTCAGCCACATCTGACTATGTCCCATCTGATTAAGACTGCATATTCTAAACAAACCAATAAAAATCCCATGGAATTGGTTCTAACTTAGAGATATCTTCTAAAAGGTTACTGTAAATCTTTTTTCTTTCTTTCTTTCTTTTAAAAGGTTACTATAAATCTTTGTAAAGAGAATTCCAAGTTGTGTGAAGTAAATGAACTAAAAAACCCTGCTACTCCTGAGTTCACCCAATTCACTGTGATCCAGCAGTACCTAAAGGGTTTGCAAAACTGTAATCTTTTTTTTTAAAATTAAAAATGTTGACGTTTTTATTTGTTGTGAATCATTTTTGCATTTGTTTTATTTTTAAAAACATTAAAGCTAAATATTTCCTTTTTAAAAAATTTCCATTCATTAGTTGTTACACTTTTCTCTGCCCACCTCTTCCCCCTAATTTGCTCTTCTCTTCGAAAAGTAAAAGAAAAATTCTTTCATTGTTATATCCCTGTTCCCAAGTCCCCCCCACCACTAAGCAGCCTTCATTCTGGACACCTGTCATGACAATAATACCTAATCCTACATCCCTTTTAAATAGTTCCCTTCCTCATCTGTTTCAATGCAGTATACATTACTTATCCCCACTATCTCAGTCTCCCCGCCCCAGTCAGTCCGATTTTATAACAGTGGCACTATGCAGTATTTGTCCTTTTGTGACTGAGATATTTCATTCCACATAATATCCTCCAGGGTCATCCATTTTGTATAATATGCAATTTCTCTTGCTAACATGTTAACAGCAGAACACTTTAACTCATGTGTCACCATGTATCCTTAAATATAAATTAACACATATTAATAAATAAATCTGATCACTTCAGAAACAATAATGTTTAAAGAATAAGGTGTGCCTGATTCAGACCATTGTCTTTTTAATCACTTTCTAGGCATCTGAGAGCTAGACAATGAGTAAGGCTGACAGAAGAAAGTTATCTTTGAAAAACTGTGGTATTGGAGAAGAGTACTGAATATCTCACAGACTAAGAAAAGAATAAACAAATATGTCTTGGAAAAAGGGCAACCAGAGTGTTCTTTGGAAGCAAAAATGATATAATTTGTCTCACAATCTTCAGGCCACGTTAGTAGGAGAGGGACATCGTGCTTGGAAAAGTGAAGGGTCGGAGAAATATGAGGAAGACCCCCATCAGAAGGATTGACACGGTGACTGCTGCAGTGGATTGACACGGTGACTGCTGCAGTGGACTCAAATGTGCCAGAAACTATGAGGATGGCAAGGGTTCAGACCTGTTGCTCATTGGATCACGACGGGTCGTACTCAACTCCATGCCCCCTGACAACAACACAGCATGCCCCCTGACAACAACACAGCAATCCTATGAACAACCCTGTCCTATCCCATGCCATCCTCGTCATGTTGGACACACTTGAGCCTGTTGCAGCAGTCATTATATCAATTCATCTTGTTGTTCCTCTACTGAGCTCCACTTTTCCAAGCATGATGTCTTTTTCCAAGAAACTACCTCTCTCAGCAATATGCCCAAAGTATGTGGGATGAAGCTTCACCATCCTTGCCTCCAAGGAGTAGTCTGGCTGTACCTATCTATCTGTTCATATCTATTTGTTCTTCTGGCAGTCCATGGGATATTCAGGACTTTTCTCCAACACCTAAAAAGCATAAATATTTTCTTCTAACGTCCAGCACTGAAATGTATAGCACGTGCTTGGAAAACCATGACTTAAATCAGGCTCACCTTAGTCTTTAAATTTTACTTACTCTTCAGTACTCTGGAGAGGGGTCCTGGACAGGTGATTTCTCTAATGTAGCTCATCTGATGATTTCTTGACTGCTACCAAAGGTGTTGATGGTGGATGGTAAGATGGAATCATTGACAACTTCAATCTTTTCTCCATCTCCTGTGATGCTGTTTATTGGCCCAATGTTGAGAATTTTTTTGTTTTCATGATGTTGAGTTGTAATCCATATGAAAACTGCACTCTTTATCTTTTGCAGCAAGCACCTCAAGTCTTAGTTTTCAGCAAACAAGGTGTGTCATCTGCATAAGACAGGTTGATGGATGAATTATCTTTCAATTTGATGCAATGACTGAGAAGTCTGAATCAGGTGAACCTTCATCTTCAAACTGACATCATTGCTCCCCAATAATTTGGAGAAGTCTCTGACTACAGACTTTCTCAGTACATTACATTTCCTGATCTCATGACTGCTGGGACCAAGGGAGTTTGTAGATTGTGGATCCAAGCAAGATGACGTTGCTATCTATCTATCATCTATCTATCTATCTATCTATCATGATCTTGCCCATCAGTGAGGTGGTGAGATTTTTTTTCTTTCTGCCTTTGAGATACAATCCATATTGACAGCTGTATTCTTTGATCTTCCGCAGCAAATGTTTCAAGTCCTTTTAACTTTTAGCAAGCAAGGTTGTGCCATCTGCATAATAAAAGTTACTGATGAGTTTTCCTCTGATGCTGCTAATTTTCTTTTTGAAAAAATTTTATTATTTTTTGTGTGTGTACCATCAAATCAGATCTGACTGGTACCGGAGGCGATTGCCCCTCCTTCTCCAGCAGAGCATCTGGTGGATTTGAACCGTGCACCTCTGAGATTGCAGTGCAGCGTCTTGCCACTAGGCCATCAGAGCGCCCTCAGGTGCTGATCATTTTCATAGAGTCCAACACCTTGAATATTCACTCAGCATAGAGATCAAATAGGCATAGAGAAAGGACACATCTTGACACACATCTTCCCTAATTTTAACACTTGATCTTAGCCAAAAGGCCGAGAAGTGATCTAATCTTAAACCTGGTAGTGCTCCCCTTGCCCTGCTTGTACAACAGCCTCTAGATCTAGGTATATGTTTCACATGAGCACAGTTAAATGTTTGGTTATTCCCATTCTTTTCGATGTTAGCCAGAATTTGTTATGATTCAGACAGTCAAATGCCTTTGCACAGTCTAACTAAGTATAATTAGATATTCTTCTGGCTTTGTTGACTTTCAGACAGAATCTATCTGACATCAGCATATCCCTGGTGCCTTGGCCTCTTCTAAATCCTACTTGAACTTCTGGCAGTTACATGTCTATGTACTATTCCAGTCGGTTTATCAGTATCTTCGGCATTATTTTGGCTCCATGTTATATTAATGAAATTGCTAGATAATTCCCACATTTTGTGGGATCACCACCTTGGCAATGGGAACAAATATAAAACTCTTCTAGTCAGTTGGCGAGGTAGCTATCTTAAAAATTTTCTGGGATAGATTGGTGAGCACGTCCAGGGCTGCATCTCTTATTTGAAATATGCCAACAGGTATCCCATTGATTCGTGGGGACTTATTTTTCCCCCCGATGCCTTCAGTGCAGCTTTACGGTTTTCCTTCATTACCACTGGCTCTTGTTTATATGGTACTGCTTAAACTCTTTTATTGTCAGTTCCTTTTTATATAGTGACTGTGTTTTCCCTCTATCTTCCTTTGATGTTTCTTGGATTATTTAAGATTTTGTCCACAGCATCCTTCAATAACGCAAGTCAGGGCTTGAATTTGTTTTTCCTTTCTTTCCGTTTAGGAAATACTAATAGAGCTGTTTCCTTTTTATTTTTCAATTCCAGTCCTCTGCATATTCCATTATAATACTTTGTCTTCTCAAGCTGCCCTTTTAAATCTTCTGTTCAATTCTTTTACTTCAGCATTTTCCTCCTTTGTTTAGGATTTTTAATGCTCTAGTGTAATTTTCTGTGTCTCTTCTGACATCCATTTAGGTTTTTCTTTCTCCTCTGCCTCTGTAATTATAATTTGCACTCTATTTATCAAGGATGATATCCTTGATGTCATCTCACAACTCATCTGATCTTTTACCATTGGTGTTCAATATTTCACATCTATTTTTAAGATGATTTTTAAATTCAGGTGGGATAGACTCAAGATCATACTCTGCTTCTCATGGACACGATTTTCTTCAGCCTTAACCTGACCTTGCTTATGACTAAATGACGGTCTGTTCTACAGTCTGTATGTGGTGACTAGAATGCCAAAGCTGGAAACGGTGAATGGTAGTTGGAAAGTACAGACTTGATGAAAGAAAAGTGGCCAGAAATACAATGATTGAATTTTATACGTTCAATTATTTACTCATTGCAAATATCTTTTACAGAAAACATGAACGATAACTTTGCATATGAACCTCACCTGAAGGACTGTTAAGGATTCAGAATTACTACAATGGTAGAAAGAACGGTTGGCGAATGATTGCTGTGAGTTATACATAACTCAATGGCACCATCAGTGGTTAATGTCCTGCTGATCTAAATGCCACACACCTGAGGTAGTTCAAATCCACCAGTGACTCTGCAGGAGACAGATGGGCAGTCAGTCTCCTCACAGCAATTTTATAACCTTGGAAACCCAATGAGGGTCATTTAGGAGCTGGTTCCAAAGCAATGAGCTGAGTGAACTATAAGAAGCAGTTCATCTGTCACAGTCTACTTTATTTATCATGGGGACCAGAGGGCTGACAGATGCTAAGGATTTATTAATGTCTGACCACAGAATAACTGATCTTTTAAAATTTGTGAATTTGTAATTACCTTTCTGTTTTAGTGACTATTTGTTTATTTATTTTAAATTGTTGTAGTGTGCCATTGAGTCAGATCCAACTGGCACAGGAGAAGACTGCTCATGCCTCTCCAACAGAGCACCTAGTGGACTCGAACCATGTCCCTTCAGGACTGCCACTACGCCACCAGAGCTCCTATAATCACCTTTTAATGAAATTTCTCAGACCATTTCTGAGCAGAAATCAAGCAAATCCTCACCTAAACTAAAAGATACCAATGGCGACTTTTAATAATGAATTAATTAAAAGAATATAACTTCTTTTTCCTAATATCAAAACATAAAACCTAAGTAAATCTGAAAAATGGAAAAGCAAATTATAACTTTAATATTAAATAGAAAACATTTTATGCTTTATACATTTTTCTTATTAAAAGCTTTTCTTTAAAATTCTGAGAAAATAAAAAAACCAAACTCCAGCATATTTCTCTTCATTCAAGATTTATACACTGAAAAGTCCATATCACATTGATAAGTAAATTTTTTATCTTCAAACAAAGTCATCTCCCAATCTTAAAACAAAGTCATTTCCAAACCTTATTAATCAAGGAGTTAAATTCCATCAGTCTACAGTCCTTCCTCAGGTCATCTTTTGGCTTACACATCATGATGTACAGCTTTCCATCTGATCCTTTCAAAGATATTTTCTTTGGTTTTTGTAGAGAAGCAAGAATTTCGACCTAAGTATAATAAATTATACATAATTAAATGACGACTTTTAAAATGCCTAAATTTTATCAATATTGGCTTACTTTGGTAACTAAAGATCATTACAATTACCTATATTATATGGTAAATTTGTTGAACTATTTATTTTCTCTTAATAAGTTATAACCTATGGAAAAAACTGGTTGCTGCTCACAGAGATTCACTTTCACTTAATATGAATGGCTATCAAATAAAAAGATCACTTCATCAACAATACAATTGCTTACATATTCAAATTTACAGCCCCTTTCAGTGCAATCATAACGCTTAAAAGAGTTTTGAAATGTCCTGTGTTTTCAGTGACTCAGGCACTATCTTAAAATATTTTTAACATTAAAAAGTGCTTATCACTCAAAATTAATTTGATTTTGGGAGAAGGTAAATCTGCTAATCACAAATTTACATAATGAGGGGAAATGGAGGAACATCACAAAGACACAAAGAGCCACTTAAAGTAGCAGGATCGATTTCATCATGTAACTTGGGAAGTGGTTCTGAATGTCATCAAGCATATATTTTGAGCTATAGAAATACTGCTAAAATGTGTTGTTGTTGTTGTGTACTGTCAAGTTAGAATTGATTTATATCCTCCAGCAGATTTTCAGAGACAAGAAATCACACAGAAGGAGTCCATCTTTTTCTCTGATGGAGCTGCTGGTGGATTTGAACCATGTGCCTTTCAGATGGCAGTACAACTCTTTACTGCTAAGCCACCAAAGCTTTCTTTTTTGAAATAACAGAGCTTTAAAAAATATTTGGTTACAAGAGCTCTTGTACTACTGTTGTTGATTACACTTGAGTTGAGCACGACTCATAGTGACTCTATGAACAAAAGACCTAATGCCTTTCCACATCTGTCATCATTTCACCAAGTTCATAGAGCTTCCAGAGGCATGTGGTTTAGGAAGTGGATGCTACTCCTGCTTCCAAACCTGTTTTAAAACTGGGAGCTCCACCAAAGACAGGCCACATTGGGAAGCCATTCTGGTATTTGATACCCCAATGGCACAAGGTTCAGCATCACCACAACCCAGGTTTCTTCATACTGTACATTGACAGTGATGTACAAAGTGGAAGAATGTTCCTCCAGATATAACAGCACCAGTTCCACTAGCAGTGGTTGTACATTCATAGACACAGTTAATACTTCCAGTTTTTCATTGTTTTTGTTCAGACATTCCTCTAGGTCGTATAGCCCTGGTGTACAAGTTGCCATACCCTGGTCACTTGTGGTTGCTGTGAGGCTGAACACTGACAATGATGTGTCAAATGCATTAATGGTTTGCTACCCAATGTGGCCAGAGAGTGGGGTGGAGCTCCAAATTAAAACAAGCGTGGGAGGAGGAGTTGCATCCACTTCCATAATAGCTTGCCTCCAGAAACCCTATGAACCTGGAGAGAGGATGAAAGGCACCCAAGCATCGAGGACTCTCCTTCATAGGGTCGCTATGACTTGCCTGTGATTCAACGGCACTTAACAACAACAACAACAACAACAACTGTTAAATTGGATCTGACTGGTACAGGAGATTGCCCTTCCTTTTCCAGCAGAGCACCTGGTAGATTTAAACCATGGGCCTCTGAGATTGCAGTGCAGCTTCTTGCTACTAGGCCACCAGAGTTCCCCACAGTTAATACTTTTTAAAAAATAAAATTCTTCATAGCTAATTTTCACTTTTCACAAAAAACAAATAAAACATTGTAGTGTATTCTCATCTCCATTTTCAAGACAAGAAAAGATGATAAAATAAGACTGCACATGTACCTGTAAATGTGATCCTGTCCAGGAACAAGTGATTTCTCCTCTAATGTTAATTACCACAGTAAGGCAGATACTAAACTTACTCACTAAGACTGAGTAACTGAATTAAAAGAGTTATCGAAAGAGCAGAAATGACAAAGACACACATCAAAAACTGCCAGGGACTGAAGGCAGTAACCAGAAGATAGAATAAAGACTCACTGAAAGAATTCTCATGGCTCAGACCCTGATTTACACTTTTAAACACCATAATCGTGAGAAAACCAATTTCTGTTCTTTAAAGCCACCACATATGACTCTTACAGGAGTAATATGTTACTAAGACATATGGCTATAATCTTATAAAACTCAAGCTTACCACATCATCAAAGCCTGCAATGTAGGCCCAGTGTCCAGGAAACGGCTCATGGTTCGCATGTGTGCCCAGAATTGATGGAAGGGTAGGTATCATAACTGACTGCAAAGGAATGAGGATTTCACTAAATGTTGCTTCTTCTACCAGCTTTTTAAGCATTTTAAAATGAGTGCTCATACTTAATGTAGAACTGCTTCCATCAGCCTGAAAAAGAACAGCAAAAAATAATAATACATTTTAATTTAACTGCGTTTACCTTTAATTATGAACTTTGGTAAATGTCGATAGTTACAGAAAGGCTTCAGGTCTTTTGTTCATAGGGTCGCTATGAGTCAACTCAAAGGCAATCAACAGCAACAACCTTTAATTATAGGATTCTTAAGCTCAAAAAAAAATTTACTTATATCTCAAATAAAACTGTTCAGCAGTTTTCTATACGTCTCTTTTTCACTTTTTTATATTCTTCTTTATTAGTAAAAGTAACAAGAAACGATTATTTCATGGCTAAAGGAGGCAAAGGTCTGTAATTTATTGTTAAACTCAAAAGTCACTGTCCCTGAGCTGGAAACAAATTCTATTTGACCCTCTGGCCAGTTTTCAGAGGCTGTAAATTGCCTGGGAGGAGACCATCAGGAGACCGTTGGTCCTTCTCAGGAGCAGCTGATCTACTCAAACGTCTCAAGAGGCGCCACCTTTCGGTTAGCAATAGAACTCTCTATAGTCTCCAGAGCACCAGCTCTTTCCACAATAGATGCTGGTGAATACTACTGCATCAGAACTGACTCACAGCTGACTCTCCACTGGGTTTTCACAGGCATTGAAATCACTCGGGAGGAGACTGCCCATCTTTCTCCTGTATGGCATTAAATCTCATTTTCCATCAAAACTATACCTGAACTTACCACTTTAATGTAAAGATAAATAATGTGTTGATTATGGTATAAGATTGTCCCCAAAATTGATACTAAAATACAAAGCATGCTGTGAGGTGCTATCGAGTTAAATATGACTCACAGTGACCATATGAACAAAAAATGTGAACCTGCTCCCCAATTAATTTAGAGAGGTCTCTGACTAGAACTTTTCAAGTATAATATATCTCCTGCTCTCCTGTCTGCTGGTAGCAAGTATACTGTTTATGGATCCAAGTAAGATAAAGTTGTTGACAGTTTAAATCTTTTCTCCATCTATCATGATGTTGCCTATCTGCCCAGTGATGAGGATTTTTGTTTGACGCAAAGATGCAATTCATATGGAAGGCTGCTGTGTTTAACATTCTGCAAAAATGCTTCAAGTCCTCCTCACTTTCAGCAAGCAAGGTTGTGTCACCTGCGTAACGATGGTTACTGATGAGGCTTTCTCCAATACTGATGCCACATTTTTCTCCACAAAGTATAGTTTCTTGAATAATCTAGTCAGCATACTGATCAAGGACACAACCCTGATGCACATCTTCCCTAATTTTAAACCATGCGGTGTTTCTTTGCTGTGTTTGCACAACAGCTTCTTTATCTAGGTATACTTCTGCATGAGCATAATTACGTTCAGGAATTCCCATTCTTCTCCATGATAGCTGTAATTTCTTAGGATCCTCAAAATCAAATGCCTTTGCATAATTAATAAAACACAAATAGACATTCTTCTGGTATTCTCTGCTTTCAGCCAGGATCTATCTGATTTCAGCAACAACTGGTTCCACAGTCCCTTCTAAACCCAACTTGAGCTTCTGGCAGTTCTCTGTTCTACCTTCAGCATTATTTTGGTTGTATGTGATATTAATCAAATTGTTTGGTAATTTCCACATTCTGTTGGATCACCTTTTTTTGGAAGTTGGAACAAATATGGATCTCTTCCAGTCAGTATATTCACCTTTAAAAATGGTGTAAAAAATCTGAAACCTTTAGTTGGTCACCAGGGTGCCAGATAAAAACCCTGAAATTCCATATATGTAAAGGACCGAGAACAGTACCAGGGCTTAGTAAATGTTAGCAGTCATCATCTCTGTGTATTGGATAAGTCAAGTGCATCAGATAACAAATATGAATGGATTAGGAAGCTCTGGTATATTTACACAATGGAATACTACACAGCACTAAAAAACAAGGAACTTACAAAGTATTATACAAAATGGGTGACCTTGGAGGACACTACTGAGTAAAATATCTCAGTTACAAAAGGACAAATACTGCATAATGCCTCTGTTACAAAACAAGACTGACATGAGGGCTGGGGGAAAACTAAGAAAAGAGGTGATAAATAATGTACATTGACTACAACTAATGTATTCTAATGCATGTTAGAAAATGGAAGACTTAGGAAACACAAGGCTGCATAAAGAAAAGTGCATTGTTCAGTTTGGCTTCTGGCTTCCTTTAGTTTGAATAACATTTGTGTCTACCCTAGTTCAGTACAGATGCCACCTCTGCAGCTGGAACAGAGTGGTGGTGGCAACGTTTCTAGAATGTAAAGGAAAAAAACCCATATCCATGTGCCTTTTCAAAGCCGACAGAGATTCTGTAAAGCATCTTTGGTTCTTTCAGAGTTTGTGTGGTAAGGAGTGGTGTGTAGATGATGCTGTAGTTTTTTATATTTTTTGTTTAAAAATACCAGCCACCAGTTCTTTTTCATTTAAGGTTGAGACATTTCATTTAATGGCAGCTGAAGGACCATTTCCAGTTGGGAAAATCCACTGACATCTGTGGTAACCTTCATTTTGATGAAAAGTTTGTGCTAGTAATTTAACACTCAATGGGGGGGAAAAAAGAGCACCATTTAAAAAAAAAAATAATGTATTTAAAGTAAAAGTACAGAGAAAAACGTAAGTGTGTGTGTGTGTGTGTGTGTGTGTGTGTGTGTGTGTATCTCTATATATCTCAGGCTTTGTTTTGAATGGAACACCCCCAACTCCTCAATGTAAAGATCTTGTGCTATAACTTTTAAAGCCATACAAATAAGAGTGCTAAACTGCGGACTTAGGTAGATGTGTAAATATTTTTTAATCAGTATTACCTGGAAAATAAAATATTAATAGCCACACAAAAAATGTACACTGCATTTAAATTGATGAGGGAAAGAATTGGCTAAAAGAAATACATGATTAGATATTATTTGCATGACAGCAGTCTAGAATAAGAGATGCAGAAAGAATCTTATTACAGAGAAAAGCAAATTGGGGAGGGGTAGGGAGGAAAGTGTGCAACAATGAATGAATGGAAATCCAAGTGTTCTGTAAACTTTTGTTAAAATATCAATAAAATTATTTTTAAAAAAGAAGACAAATACAATTAACAGACACTGAAAAAGCAAGCCAATTACTGTCTCTAGGTATTTCATGGTGAAAGAAGAGGAGGAATACGGCAGACTGGATTTTTCTTACCTATTAAGTTAACAGAATGAATATTTTACAAATAAAATTTTATCTACTCATAGAAATTCTTTTTTCTCCCCACTTGCTTGCCTGTATGCTGTCCTCTTTCACTTTTGTCCCACACTTTCTTCAATTCTCACTCCTGTAAGAATGCTACATTTTAGACATGGTCTACAGAGAAAGGGAGCTATCACTCTGGATAATAACCATCTGCTCGGTGCCCTGAAGGACTCTTCATTTGTGTTTCCTCTGCACAGAGCTGGCCCCCTAATAGTCACTGAAACATACATTGAAAGAATGAAAGCCAAAACCCAATTTTTCTCTCATATAAGTTTTGAAAGTTTGAAGATACGCTAGAAAATGCTATAGCAACAACTTTAAATAGCTTTGAGTAATAGATATATGTACATACACATACACAGCTCACTCACTCATACAAAAATAAATATATATACTTACAGCATATTTCATATCCTCTAATAAAAGTAATTTCTCATAAAAGAGAGAGCATTTACTATCAGAGAATATCATATTATAAAGGCCTCTGAAAATTTACAGACTATTTGAGAGAGGGATGTATTCTTGAAAGTAGCTTTACTGGAGTTGTTGTTGTTGATTTGCATCCAGTCAAGCAAAACTCATAGCAACCTGCACATATTTAAAGCATACAATTGGAAAAGCTTTAATATATGTGATTTTATATATTTACACATATATATATGTGTGTGTGTGTGTGTGTGTATATATATATATATAAAATAATTTATATTGAATTGATTACATGAAGGAAAACTAGTGGAAAAGATAGAAAAATTCTGGAAATAATGTCCACCACTGAACTACAAGCAGTAAGGTTTATGATCATACCGGTTTATTGCACAATTCCAGCAGCTTATCTGTTAGCCGAGTGGCGTCTCCAACAAACTTTTCTAATGACTTTTTCATATGAGTTGCTTTCTTTAGGATTTCCTTGCATCTGTTGACACGCATGGGATAAGAAGACTGTCACAAAAAAGAAAGAAATTATGTTTTAAACATGATTTTAGAAACAAAACTTTTTGATTGATATAGATCAACTTAAAGAGTATTGATGAAGACAATACATATTGATGCAAATTTCCTGGAAATCAATTCTGTACTGAGTGTTCAAATCCTGGGTGAGACCCAACCTCCCCCCAAAAAAGAGCCACAAAGAAATGTTACACTTTAATGAATTCTCTTTTAAGATTCTACACTTAGAAGGAAAAATCAGAAGTGAGAATAAACAGATACATTTTGATATATTAGAATAGTAACAATAAAACGACTTAAATATTCAAAAAGTAAAATATAGATGGGTAACTATTACAGTTTCTAAAATGAGTCTTGAAACTATTTAATATATAGGAATATTCTTATGGAATCACTGTTAAGTGAAAAATTTAAAATTATTTTTATAATGCAAATTTAAGGGAGCCCTGGCAAGAAGCTGTGCTGCCATCCTGAAGGCACGTGGGTGGATTCCACCAGCTGCTCTGTGTGAGGACAGGCCACCTCCTCCCAGGTGATTAACTGCCTCTCAAAACCCACTGGAGGGTCAGCTATGAGTCAGTTCAAACTCAACAGTACATAACAACATCATGCAAATTTAGTGTTAAAATAGGCATACAAAATGTACAAAGGAAACAAAGAACATGTACAAAGGAAAATCACATCAAAATGATACTGAATGTTAGAAAATGTGAATTTTCATTTTCCTCTACATATCTGTTCTTAAATATTAAGATACCTATTTTGACTCACGCACTTTTAACTTGTTAGTTAAATTTGTATCTTCTAGGCTGCAACACTTCCATGATACATCTTCGAGGATATGAACATGTATGGCTAAGCACAATTGATAACAGTGCATCTAAATTCCAAAATCAATCTCCAGAATAGTCTATGTATTTCCTACTGCCAAAGGGGCCCTTTAGAGTAGTGAGAGAAGACATTCACCCTGAAACCCACAGCGTCCCTTTTCAGCAGGAAGTAGCTAAGAGAATACATCATTCCCTTTTTCTTATGAATCAGGGTGAAGTCTCTCTCAGGGAGGAGTGATAGGGAATGGCAAGGGACACACTGACAAAGGAGATTAATCAGAACTGGCTTTGACAAGCACTGTGGCAATTGGACAATTAAAACAGACATTGGGGGTGGGGGAAAGAAGAACGAACTGGGGAGGAGGGTGGAGAAAACAGTGCAACAATGAATGAATGAAACCCCCCAAAAAAAATATTAAGATACCTAGTATATCAGAATAATTATGGTTGTGTACTGCTGAGCTGGATCAGACCCATAGCTGACCCTCTGGCAGGTTTTCAGAGGCAGTAAACAGTAAATCACATGGGAGGAGATTGCTCATCGTTCTGTGGCATTTGAACTGCGTGCCGTTAGGATTGTATCATGGCTTCTTACCATTATGCCACCAATTACTGGTTGAATACATTGCTGTTGTGTACCACAGAGTTGGAACCAACTCATAGTGAACCCTCCAGCAGATTTTCAATGGCATTTAATTGCATGGGAGGAGACTGCTCATTCTTTTCTACATACAGTGGGTGGCCTCAAATCGCACACCTTCAGGATTGCAGCACAGCTTCTTGCCACTTGGCCACCATGTGATTAACTGCCTCTGAAAATCCACCAGAGGGTCAGCTATGGGTTGGTTCTGACTCTACAGTACACAACAAGCTTTAATACATTAAGCATCTTATCAATTCCCACTAACTACGTGTTACAAGTTTTTTCTAACAATAACAGTTTGTACAAAATGGATTATAATACTTGAAAATAATTAAGTTAAAATTTTATAAGAAGTGCTAACAGATTGCTAGCCTTCATCATAAGAAAACACAAGCTTCAACACACTATTTTATTTGATACGGTAAATATCTCTGAATACTATACTTCTGTTTCAAAAGTATTTAAAATTGATATGCTAGTATTATTCTGATGTAAGAGAAAAAATCCTGGACATTATCATTCTATCAATCTATCATTAAAATCCAATAACCAGTGTTATGGAAAATAGGAAAAGGTTAATACATTACCTTTGATACAGCTGTCATCATCCACATCGCTTGTTGAGGATAGGCCAGAAACACTTTGGCTATAATTTCCATCAAGACTATAAAAACTTCATCGTGAGAATGACAAATTCGGGATATTAACTGAGAAAAAGCAGTCAAAAACTGATATGGAGCTAAATAATCTGTGTGCTCGGTGATCACTTTGTTTATTTTAGCCAAGTCATTTCTCATTTGTACACGATCAGAACGGCCAGCTAGAGGAAAGAAAACGATCAGAATGTAAAAAGAATCAATAAAATATATAGAGGGAAAAATTATCACTTCATTTCCTACAATGTTGTTGTTGTTATGTGCCGTCGAGTTGCTTGCGACTCAGCGACCCTATGTACAACAGGCCTAAACTCCGCTCTGTCCTGTGCCAATCGCACTGTCTCTGACACTCCCATCCCAATTATCCCAGTCACTGAATCAATCCACCTCATAGAGGGCCTTCCTCTCCTGCGCTGTCCCTCCACCCTCCCAAGCATGATGTCCCTCTCCAAGGACCGGACTCTCCTCACAACATGTCCAAAGTATGTTAGACGGAGCCTCAGAATCCTTGCCTCCAAGGAGTCACCCGGTTTAAACCTTTCCAGGATGAATCTGTTTTCCTAGCAGTCCATGGCACTTTCCTACAATAACTTTGTTTTTTAAAAAGCTATGGATTATATGGGCACATGTTCATGTCCAAAGATAGACTACGCATTATTAAGACCCACATTGCATTCCCCAAAAAGATATTCTGAAATTTTAACTCCTGTACAAGTCAAAGGAACCTTGGTGGCACAATGACTAAAGCGCTTGGTTGCAAGTGGTGAATCTGAACCACCACATTAGTATGGCCTTGGATTAGTAGAACAATACAATTTTATAAAAACTATGTCACAAATGAGCAGTAGCAAGAAGCTCTCCTGCAATCCCGAAGGCATGTGGTTCAAATCCACCCGCTGCTCTATGGGAGAAGGATGGGCAATCTCCTCCTGTGTGAAGATTAACTGTCGGAGGTCAGTTACAGGGCAGATCTGACTCAAGCCACACAACAACAACATTCTGTTTTCTAGGGTTAACAATGAATCTTCGTTTTCTTGATACTTATGAATATAATTCTGCTTGTAGAGAGGTTCCCTTTTGTTGTATTACTGAGATCACAGTACAGAATATAGGACGCCCTCAACTTACTGAATTCTAAGTGGTATCTAAGTACAGACACAGAGACCTAAACATAGAGGAAGAAATTACTTGAGAATGTCACAGGTATACTAAGAAGTGCCTGAACAGATAACAAGAATGGCCCTCCCCTAAGCCCAGAGGCAATGTCTTGATAAAATTTTCTGGCCTCTAAAACTGGGATATAACAAACTGTTTTTAAAAACTATCCACTATTGTTTTTGCAGTGTGGGTATTAATAAAAAAAAATTACGGTAACTTAAAAATTCAAAGGGGTTCACTTTGAACAGAAACAACTAGAATAAGTCCTTATCCTTTGTAATTTTTTTGTAAATTATTTGTTTTAAATTAGTATTCTTCAGTACATGTTGAGTTCACCAAGGAACTAGCTGATTATCATTTGCTGTTTTCTAGCACTGTTATAACAGAGACACCACAGAAATGCATTCTCTTACAGTTTAGGAGGCTGAAGGCCAACTTCAGAGAGCCAACTGTAAGGAAACTCTGTGTCTGATGTGGAGGATGTGTTTCCTTCAGCATCTGCAGGTCCTGAAGACCTCTATGTGTCCTGGTTTTCTTTGGTACCAAGGAACTTCCTGTGGCAGAGGACCAGGACCGAAAGGAACTGATCCATCCAGGCGATTTCTTTCTTGGTGGTACTAAGCCCCTAGCCATTGCCATACTTTTCTCTCCTTTGATCTCTAGTGAAACGGAAAGTTATTATTGGGCATTTTTGTTGTTGTTCTTGTTATGTGCGGTCATGTACAATTCATAGCAACCCTATGAATTAACAGATCTGGACCCTATCCTATGCTGTGCCATCCTCCCTATCTCTGACACATTCGAGCCCACTGTGGCAGTCATTGTGTCCATCCACTTGGTCAAGGGTCTTCCTCTATTTCACTATCCCTTCACCCTTCCAAGCGTGATGTCCCTCTCCAAGGAACAGTCTCTCCTAGCAACACATCCAGAGTATGGGAGGCAAAGCTTTGACTTCAAAGAGCACCCTGGCTACGCCTTGTCCAAGACACATCTGTTTGTTCTCTTGGCCATCCATCTGATATTCAATACTCTTCTCCAAGACCACAGCTCGGAGGCATCAATTATTCCACTGTCATTCACACCCTAGGGACATTCCTTCAAACCCAATTAGAGTTGTGAAGAATTTATAACTGTTTGGTTTTTAGATCATGAAGGATCATTACATAGCTTTTATATGATATCATTACATAAATATATTTTGGGAAGACATAGTTCAATCCTTGGCAGTTGAAATCCCTGAGCTACATATATTTAATAAGCCTGTTTGGTTTATCTTTATTCTATTAAGTTTTATAAAATCTCAATCATATAAAACTCATTCCCACTCTTTAAAAGTTTATATGTCGTCAAAAACAAGGATATAAACTTTGTAAGTAAATCAGTATGAAATGAAAATTTTATTTTAAAAAAGAAAGTCAGGATGTCAAGCCAAATCAGCATTTATACTTATTAATAGTCTCTTAGAATTTTTGCATTTTTAAAAGTGGTACCTTTTTCCCATTCAAATGCTTTAGCACCAAAATCCAGCCATAATGACAACATTCGAGGCATTGACTGATAAATGAACTGATTTCCATACTGGAGAGATCTACAATTATATAGAAAAGAAGTATTATCAGCAGCACATCGGTTTTTTTGAATGTTACATAAACTAAAATTTAAGAATTTAAACTACCACTTTGGCTATACAAAGCCTTGTGACAAAAATTATATTATCATTCTTCTTTCCTAGTAGATGAAGTACCTTTGACTGTTAGCCTACTTATGTCACTGTATTACTAAGTTCTATGTCACCTAAACAAAAATAATACAAATTTTCACTAGAAAGTTCTATTAATAGCTCTATTCTACATGATGAGGAGAGCTGCTGTAAGTATCAACTAGACAGCACACAACTGCAAAGGAGTATGAGAAAATCATGTGAGACATAGCACTGCAACATGTAAAATTTCGTTACATTACATTTCCCTCACTGAGTTTGCAAAGTCTATGTTTAAAAGTCATGGAATGGTGGAGTTCTTTGAAGTTCATCTATTTATTTATTTGAAGAGATTGAGATTGTTCATAGCTTTAGTTTGCTTGGCTCCACAGTCAACACTCTTGGCACCAGTAGCCAGGAAATTAAAAGACGTATTAATAGCCATGGGAAAGTCTGCTGTTAGGGACTTCTCTAAAGTACTTAAGAGCAATGGTGCCTCTCTGGAGAACAAGGTGCATCTGATACAGGCCATGGTCTTTGTGATCACTTGTTATGCATCAGAGAGTTGGACAATGACTAAGGAGGACAGAAGGAGAATTTACGCCTTTGAGCTGTGGTGCTGGGGAAGAGTACTAAGGGTACCATGGACTGCTAGGAAAACAAACAGATTCATCCTGGAAAGGGTTAAACCGGGCAGCTCCTTGGAGACCAGAATTCTGAGGCTCCGTCTAACATACTTTGGACATGTTGTAAGGAGAGACCAGTCCTTGGAGAAGGACATCATGCTTGGGAGGGTGGAGGGACGGCGTAGAAGGGGAAGACCCTCTATGAGGTGGATTGATTCAGTGACTGGGGTAATGGGGATGGGTGTATTGGAGACGGTGAGATTGGCACAGGACAGAGCAGAGTCTAGGGCTGTTGTACATAGGGTTGCTATGAGCTGCAAGGGACTCGACGGCACATAACAACAACATTTTCTTCAATGATCTTCACATTGCCAAAAGCCATGGGCAATTTCTGGTTTAATCTTTCTGAAGCATTTGAGAATAGTAATGATTCGTTCTTTCCTGAACATTTCTTCCTCCTTTTCCACCTTTCTGTTTTCTCTCAGTTTTCAATGAGAGCTGCTCTCCTTGCCATCTTAAAGCTGGTTTATTTCCTTTATCTCCTGATTCAACCCTGATCTTCGAAACCATTTTATACTATGTGAATTTTCTACACATCTGGACTTAATGTTCTCCTTACAAGAGAAGAGATGCTTAAAGTTAGATAATTCTGTGCTATGTCAGAAATCCACAAGGCTGTCCTTCCTGCTAGAAGATCTCCATGCAGATACCCCCTAAGTACCACAGATTTGTCTAAATTCCACTCAAATATTCCCTGGTCACATTTGCTCCTCTTGTATTTTTTGCAAACACATACACAACCTATTTTATGGATTAGGTAGTATGTTGTTGGTTGCCTTCAAATTGAGCACGACTCATAGCAACGCTATGAACAAAAGGCATGAAACCTCTCTACAACTACTGACACTTATCAAAGTTCACAGTTTCCGGAGGCATGTTGTTTAGGGAGTGGATGCCACTCCTGCTTCCACATAGGTATATAAATGCACACTTATTTATCATTTGCTCTCATGATCACAGCATCTGTCTTTCAGTTTGCTATACTGGATTAACTTCCAGGAATGCTATGATGCTGGAAATTTTTCAGTGTTGGCCAATTCTTTTAGGCACAGTGACTTTGTGTATTCCTTCTACCATCTTTTAATGCTTCCTGGATTATTCAAGATTTTACCTATAGAATCTTTCAGTATTGTAACTCAAGGCTTGAATATGTTTTTCAGTTCTTTCAGCTTGAGATATGCCAACCAAGTTCTTTCCTTTTTATTCTACAGCTCCAGTACTTTGCACCCTGTTATAATACTTTGTCTTCTCAAGCTTCCTTCTTGAATCTTCTCTTCATCTCTATTACTTCTTCATTTTTTGAATTCTCAATAATCTAGTGCAATTTTTATAGTCTCTTCTTTCAGGGTCATCTCTTCTGGTCTTTCTTTTTCCTCTGTCTTTGTAAGAAGCTTTGGCTCTCTTCGTGGATTATATATATTTGATATCATCCCATAACCCATCTGTTCTTCAATCATTTGCTTTCAAAGCCTCAAATCTATCCTGGAGATGATTTTTAAATTGAGGTGAAACAGATTCAAGATCGTATTTTGGTTCTTATGAGCTTGTTTAAATTTGCTTTAGTTTCAATTTGAACTTGTAATACATGAGTTACTTAATGGTTTTTTTCCAGGATCACACCTGACTGGTTTTGACAGCTGATATCAAGCTTTTCCAACATTTTCTTTCACAGATATAGTCAGCCTTATTACTATGAAGCTCATCAAGTGAGACTCATGTGTAAAACCACATTTGTGGTTTTAAAAATTGAAACAGATGAGGGAAAGAATAATTTAAAAGCGATGTATGATAGGGTATTATGGTTATCACAAGAGTCCACAATTATGGTTGCATAGTGGAGTGTACTTGGGGCGGTGGGAGGGGTGTGGGCAATTGTATATCAAAGAAAGATTTTGTTCTTTCACTTTTCAAAGAGAGGAGTGAACTGGGGCAGGGGGGAGGGCTGGGCAGGGAGAAAAGCGCAACAATGAATGGAAATTCAACATCTCTGTAAATGTTCATTAAGATTATTAAAATAAAATCTAAAAAAAATGTCTTTGTGATGAATATATGTGATGAACATACTGAAATGAACCATTCTATGTTCAGTCTCATTTCTATCACCAAGACCATTCTTTCTTCATTGTTCCCAAATTTTGCATTCCAGTCATCCATAATTATTAATACAATGTTTCAAACAAGTTCAATTTCATGCTTAAAGTTAGAAAATTCTGTGCTATGTCAGAAATCCACAAGGCTGTCCTGCCTGCTAGAAGATCTCCATGTGGATATCCCCTAAGCACCATGTTCAAATAGCACCACGATCAAAGCATCACCATGCTCAAATACATGTTTCAAACAAGTTCAAGCTGCACTGAAGGCATTCGCAAAAAAGTAAGACCACAAGAACTCATGAAATACCAGTTTACATATTTCACCTACAGATGCAGTTCTAACATGCTGATCAGTTTATGCCAGGAAATCCACAGAACAACTACTTGGCTGACTGACTGTAAGAGATCCTAATTTGTTCCTGTTCTCAAGAAAGGTGCTCCAATGAAATGTGGAAATTATCGAGTAATATCATTAATATTACAGGAAAGCAAAATATTGCTGAAGATGATCCAGAAATGTCTACATAGTACATTTACAGAGAATGCCAGAAATTCAAGCTATATTTTTAAGAGTCTCTGGGCACCAGGGATATCATTGCTCATATCATCTTGACCCTAGTTCAAAGCAGAGAACACCAGAAGAAAGTCTGCTTGTGCTTTATTGAGTATGCAGATAATTTGACTGTGTGGATTATAACAAGGTACGGCTAATAATGAAAAGAGTAGGAATCCCAGAACACATAATTATGCTCCTAAGAAACATAAACCTAGACCAAGAAGCTGCTGTCCAAACAAAGGAAGGGAATATTGCATGGCTTAAAATCAGGAAAGGTGTGCATCAGGGATGTATTCTTTCTTTGTACCCATTCAAACTCTATGCTGAACAAATCATTCAAGAAGCTGGGTTCTGTGAAGAAGAATGCAATACGAGGATTAGAAAAAGACTCATCAACAACCTGTTTTATGCAGATGTCACACCTTGTTTGCTGAAAATGAGGACTTGAAATGCTTCCTATAGAAGATTAAAGACTACAGCTTTCCATATGGATTGCTTCTCAGACTGAAGTTGCCAACGACGACAGCTTACTTGGATCCATAATCGACAGTCAGAAGATGAGAGAAATATTGCAAAAGTCCAGCGGACAGGGCCTTAGTGCTTAAATAGTTTTGGTGCTGAATGTGGGAGCAGGAGATTTCACCTTGATCTATTCAAACAGGTACACCCACAATCCCAGAAGTCAGGCAGGCAGGGCCTGAGTACTTAAATAGCTTTAAATATAACACCTATATACCAGATCTGGAGGATACATGGACCCTCTTCTGGGAAATTACCCTACTGCGACAGCAATGACAGCAGCATGGTGCAAATCGAAGAGAAGAGGCACTAAACCACAAGAAGTCAGTCCTGCAGCAGAAGTTCAAGGAAAAGAACTTTTCCTCATTACCATTTGAGATAGAAAGCCTTCCCTAATACTAGTACCTGGAATTTGGACTTAAGACACTCCTGATCTCAAAGAGATACTGACCATAGCATAAGAGACAGTGGCAGCAGCGTGAGGTATTGGGATTCGTAGAAGTACAGAAGCCATCATATCAAGGGCTGGATAGGGGAGAGAGGTGTTGAATGGGGCAGACCGAAGTGGAAGGAGATGCTGGTGGAGCAAGGAAAGGGATGAGTCAAGGTACACATGCCAAGGGAGGGTAGCAAAACTGAATCTATTGGTTGCTTCTATAATTGGGAAATATCATCTTTCATCTGCTCCTTTCTGTAAAATGTTTGTCAGTGTTCACATACATTGTTTTACACACTATCTTCATTTACATTCACATTGTGTTTTATACAATCACTCCCATTCATTATATTTTATAAAAGAAATCTCTCCACTGTTCCTCCCAACCCCCCCGCCCCCCGCCTTGAATCCTCATATACATTTTACTAGTAATCCTGCTATTTCTACAATAATGGTCTTATACAATATTTGTCCTTACAAGACTGGGTGACTTCACTTAGCAAAGCGCTCTCCAGTCCCTCCCAAGTTATGTACTGATTTTCAAAATCATTGTTCCTTCATGCTGTGTAGTATTCCACTGTGTGGATGTACCACAATTTCTCAATCTATTTGATTGTATTTTGACATCTGGGCTCTTTCCAAGTTCTTGCAATAGTGAATAACGCTGCTATGAACACTAGTGTACAAATCTCCGTTTGTGTCTCAGTTCTAATTTTCTTGGGGTAAATTCCAAGCAGTGGAGCAGCTAGGTCATATGGAATTTCTATGTTCAGCTTTTTGAGGAAATGCCAAACTGTGAAGCAGTAAATGTTTACAGAAAGAAACTGTCCATCTTTCTCACGTAGAGTGGCTAGTAGATTTGAATTCACAATTTTTCAATTAGCACCCAAAATGTTATGTTACATACTAACCACCAGAGCTCCTTAGAGACTATGAAGGACATTTAATTTTCAGTCTATATTCTTGGTACTACTGAATTTTTGAAAAATATGCATATATTAGTTTTTATGTTAATTTTTTAAATAAGGAAAAAATTATAGAAACAAATGAGGCTGTGCTGCAATCCCTGAGGAACACAGTTCTAATCCACCAGCTACTCCATGGGAGAAGGATAGGCAATCTACTCCTGTGGGATGTACTGCCTCTGAAAACCCACAAGGGTCAGCGGTAGGTTGGTTCAAACTTGATGGCACCCAAAAACAACAATCAAAAGAATTGTTGAAGCAGTAGTAAAGCAGATAATATTCTCAATAGGCTAAAGTATCTAATAACAGTTTGATACAAAAAGAATCACTGACATTTAATCATCAAATACACCAATACTCACTCTTACCTTCCAAAATGAAGGACTATATACCGAATGAGGTCCCCTTGCTTTTCCATCTTGTTGTCTGTGACCATGGGCATCAATTTGTCATAGTATTTGGCAAGGTAAAAATGCCCATCTTCCCACTCTGGTAGGACTGCAGTCACATCCTGTGAAAGAGAATCCAATATAGTCACCTAAGGGAATATCACACTATATACCAAGAGGAGAGGTACGATGAAGGATCAAAAGCATGAGACTCCAAAAAATGAAGGAAAAAGAAAAAAGTATGAGACTTCTTTAGGGCACAGTGAGTTAAAAATCTCCTTATTGTGAAGAAAGAATACCTTATTTTTTAGAAGTGCTCCCCCTCTTTGCTAAATTTATTGACAGGATATTTACAAGAGTCCAGCAGTCAATCCACAGAAGAAAGATGGGCAGCCTTCTGCCATAAAGACTGACAGCCTCAGAAACCCAATGGAGGGTCCCTATGGGTCAGAACAGACTCAACAACAGTGGTGTATCTTGGTTTTGTTTTAGGATGCTAACTCACTGTGGTTTTAATTTGTGTTTTCTGGATGACTAAGCCAGAGTGCTCATTGGAAGCAAGAATGATGAGGCTTCACCTCACAACTTTGGACATGTTGCTAGGAGGTGGTATTCCTTGGAGAGGGACATGATGCTGGGAAGGGTGGAGGGTCAGTGAAGGAGAGGAAGACCCTCCACCAGGTGGACTGACACAGTGACTGCTGCTATAGGCACTGTGTGTCAGGAAGTGTGAGGAAGGTGCAGGGCAGGAGTAGGTTCAGATCTTTTGTTCATAGGGTTGCTCTGAGTCGTACCTGATTTAAAGACACCTAACAACAACAATAATGATGTTCAGTATCTTTTCATGAGTTTATTGACCACTTTTGCAGTCTATGAAATGTTTAAGATATCTGTCTAGTTCTCAATTTAGTTGCTTTTCTTACTAGGTTTTAAGGCAAGTATTTTCTCCCAGCATATCCTTATCCTTTACATTTTGTTAACAGTATTTTTATTTATAAGACAAAGTATTAATATAAATTAAACATAATTACTCATATTTTCCCTTTCATGATTAGTAGTTTTTGTGACCTAAAAAGTGTTTGTCTAAACTAAGATGGTGAAGATTTCCTTCTGTTTTCTCTTAGAAGTTTGTGATTTTAGATTTATGCTTAGGTCAATCACCTATTTGAAATTACTATTTGTGTACAGTTTGAGGTAAAGGTTAATGTTAGATTTTTTTTTTTCAGTAACAGATATCTAGTTGTTCAAAAATCATTTGTCATAAATGGTATTTTTAAAATTCTTTTCTTAATAATAGAAATAAAAATTATTTTTTACATTTGTATCAAACAACCTTGTTGAACTATTTCTTTTTTCTATAATTATATTTTATTAATTTTCATAAACATTTACAGAGATTTTGGGTTTCCATTCATTCACCGCTGCACCATTCTCTCTACCCTCCTCCCAGTTTGTTCTTGTCCAAATGCCACAGTGCTTGTCAAAGCCAGTTCTGATTAATCTTCTTTGTCAGTGTGTCCTTTGCCATTCCCTATCACTCCTCCCTGAGAGAGACTTCACCCTGAGTCATAAGGAAAAGGGGATGGGGTATTCTCTTAGCTACTTCCTGCTGAAAAGGGACGCTGTGGGTTTCAGGGTGAAGATCTTCTCTCACTACTCTAAAGGGCCCCTTTGGCAGTAGGAAACACACAGACTATTATGGAGATTGATTTCGGAATTTAGATGCACTCTTATTGATTGTGCTTGGCCATACATGTGTTGAACTATTTCTAATAACTTTTCTGTTGCTTTCTGAATTTTCCACACAATCATTTAGTCTTAACTAAATCAACATTTTATTTTTACATCTCAACTGTTCTATCGCTTACTTTCTACCCGTGCCCCTGTAATACTGATTATAATCTCCAGAACTGAATTCAGTACAAGAGACAATAATGGGCATTCCTACCTCACTTCCAATCTCAAAATGAAAGCTTTCAACAATATACTGTTAAATAAAGTAACAACTTGTAGGCTTTATTCAGATACTCTTTATTCAATGAATAGTATTTTCTTTTAGTTCTAATTTGCTAACAGTTTTTAGTCATAAGTAGATGTTGAATTTTATCAAAAGCTTTTGCTATATCTAACTGCCAGAAGTCCAGGCTGGGTTTAGAAGGGGTCATGGTACTATGGATACTGTAGCTGATGTTAGATGGATCTTAACTGAAAGCAGAGAATACCAGAGGAATGTCTATCTGTGTTTCATTGACTATGCAAAGGTGTTTGACTGTGTGGATCATAACAAACTGTGGCTGACTCTGAGAAGAATGGGAATCCCAGAACACTTGATCGTTCTAATGCGAAACCTATACTTGGACCAGGAGGCAGTTGTCAGAATAGAGCAAGGAAACACTGCATGGTTCAAAATTGGGACAGTCATACACCAGGGATGCATCCTATCTCCATACCTTTTCAATCTGTATGCAGAACAGATTCTCTGGGAGGCTGGGCTCTATGAGGAGAAATGTGGGGTCAAGATTGGTGGAAGATCTATCAACAGTCTGCATTATGCAGATGAAACAACCCTGCCTGCTGAAACTGAGGAGGACCTGAAGCACCTGTTGCAGAGGGTCAAGGACTGCAGCCTCCAATATGGATTGAGGCTCAATGTCAAGAAGACTAAGATTCTCACCACTGGACCAACTGGCAGCATCAGGATGGATGGTGAAGAGATTGAGACTGTTAACAGCTTTAGTTTGCTTGGCTCCACAGTCAACACTCTTGGCACCAGTAGCCAGGAAATTAAAAGGCACATTGCCATGGGAAAGTCTGCTGTTAGGGACCTCTCTAAAGTACTGAAGAGCAATGGTGTCACTCTGGAGACTAAGGTGCATCTGACACAGGCCCTAGTCTTCGCAATCACCTGTTATGCATCAGAGAGTTGGACAATGACCAAGGAGGATAAAAAGAAAATTGATGCTTTTGAGCTGTGGTGCTGGAGAAGAGCATTGAGAGTACCACTGACTGTTTGGAAAACAAACAGATTCATCCTGGACAGGGTTAAACCGGGTGGGTCTTTGGAGGCAAGGATTCTGAGGCTCTGTCTAACATACTTTGGACATGTTGTGAGGAGAGACCAATCCTTGGAGAAGGACATCATGCTTGGGAGGGTGGAGGGACAGCGCAGGCGGGGAAGGCCCTCTATGAGGGGGATTGATTCAGTGACTGGGATAATTGGGATGGGAGTGTCAGAGACAGTGCAATCGGCACAGGACAGAGAAGAGTTTAGAGCTGTTGTACATAGGGTCGCTTTAAGTCACAAGCAACTCGATGGTACATAACAATAACAACAACATTGAGATACTGTAGAACTCTGTTACTGGGCTAAGTTACATGTATAGGTTTTCTTATTATTAAATATATTTTGTACTCCAGGAACAAATACAAATTTCATAAAACTATCTTGCTTAGGAATGTTGTGTTATATGTCTAAGAGAGAGTGAACTCAAATTTTTTTTCTTGGAATGTTATTAGGTTTTGGTACCAAAGTTACACTGACTTCCTAACTACTCTCTGTGAAGCAATCTGGAAAAAAACTGCTAGTATTTAAAAAAAAAAATTGGAAGAATCAAATAATAATGTTATGTAACCCAGGAGGTTTCTTTGTGCTAACATGTATAAATACTTACCAGATACAGAATTATTCATATTTTCTTCTTTATTGTTTTTTTTCCAAGACTTGTTCACTTAAAAATGTTCGAGCTTGTGCTAAGTATGTTCAAATTCTCTTCTAATAATGCCTTCATTGATTTCACACATGAGTTATGTGCAGCCTCTCTCTTAACTGAGGCTTAGTAATCTTACTCATACTTACTAAGGACTGTTTACTTTCAGCGGAGATCTGCTGGCTTAGTGCTTAAGATATTGTGCTGCCAATTAATAAACACGTGGTCTGAATCCCCCAGTCACTGTGCAGGAGAAAGCCACTACTCTTCCCTGGCATTAAACCGCCCCTGAAAGCCTGCTGGAGCGTCAGCTAGAGGTCAGTTTGTACTTGACAGAATCTAACAACAATTAACTTTTAGCTTTTTTGAACCTCTTTATTGTACACTGTTTTCTATTTATGTTTATCTTTATTAAACTCTCTCCTTTTGAGACTGTAGTTACACAAAAGTTATTGTTGCTGTTGTTATAGGCTGTTGTCTGTGACTCAGGAAGTCCCTATTAGAATAACTCTGATGTGGTAATATGTGACAGCCACTAAGGCTCCGGGGTTCGCTTTTTGTTTTAGCCTTTTAAAAATTCTTCTGTGCTTTCTTTTGGAGAGTTTCTACTGCTATGTCTGTAGTTTCACTGATTTACACTTTTCAGTATCTCATGAACTTCCATTTTATTTATCTTGCGTGGTGATTCCTTGAATTTATTTTCTTTGTAATAATTCCTCTGGCTATATATATACTGATACTATATCCGATCAACTTACATTTTATGATGTTTTTAAAGTTTTCTAATTATTTTTTTAAAAAATGCTTGTTCTTACATATGAATTTTATTTTATCCAGTTCCAATATTTAAATCACTGAACGTCTAAATGAAACATTATACAGATACTTGCCTTGTATTTCTTCATTATTGCATTACTTTCAAAGTTAGCGGTTTCTTCCATAAATCGACCAACCAGTAATATAGCTCGACCATGGATTAACATGTTTTTGCTCTCAGCTGGACTTTGGTTCTCAGGAAAACATAACTCAACACCTTTCTGAAGAACAATTAATGCCTGGTGAACATCACCCTAAAGGAAGAAAGGCAACAACAAAGATTTTAAGGATGCATTTCCATTTTGTTATAAAATAAATAAAATTACTGGCATTTACACTTTACTAAATATGTTCAGGTATATGTTCATTTGCAATTTCATGTTTAAAAGTGAGGGAAAATTTATATAATATTAAAGGGCAAGCACAGGTCATCTGTAAACTGAGCATTCAATTCTTAATTCAGGAGCAATATACCGAATACCTCCATTAGTTTATAAAATGATCAGGTGTTGACTACTGCAAGCAGAATTATTTCTTCACTTTCCATCCAGCAAGTATCTCGTCTCTATTTTTTCCTTAGCCAAGCTAGATGACAAGTGAATCCTGCAAACAGTATTAACAAGTCTTCACAGAACTAATTACCTGGTAAGGATGTAAGCTAAGGGGTAGTTTATACTCATTTAACAAATACTACTGTGTGCACCCTGTATACATACAGAGAAATAAAAGCAAAGTCCACGGGACATTTAGTACTCTTCTCCAACACCACAGTTCAAAGGCATCCATTCACTTCTTCTTCTGTCATTATTATTCACTGACCAGCCTTCAGCAGTGTAGTAAGTGACTGAAAAGATCATGGCCTGAATAAAACATAATTTAATCCTCAAACTAGCATCACTGCTCTTCAATAATTTTGAGAGGTCCCTGACTGCAGATTTGTCCTGTGAAATATATCTTTAAATCTCTTGACTTCCTGACTACTGGTACCAAGTGTTTGACTGTGGCTCTTTCAAAAGAAATGGAAAGAAACGAACCTTCATTCTTGAAATAATAAAATATTTGGGAAAGGCAACATGGCAAGAACAATTTCTGCCAGACTCTGGTAGATAAATGAAGAAAAGGAAACAGAAAAGATAAGATTCTGAAAATGGATTCAGGAATCTTCCGCCAAGCCACTGCAGAACAAGCACAATCCCCAAGAGCACACAGATGATCACACTTCCTTTGCCATTCATTACCTTGGACCACAGCCACTTCGCCCTTTCAACATAGAGTTCAGCAAGTCGTGACTCCCCTGCATTCAGGAGAGCGTTGTAGGCAGTTTGGTGGTGACCAGCTTTCCTCGCTATCCTGGCGCTCTGCAGCCAGCATTCTCCAACCATTTCACTGTAATCGGACCTGAAGAATGTGACAAAAAAGAGACAAGGCGGAGGGCGAGCCTTTAGAAGTACACTCACAGTTCTGAAAAACATCTCTTTTCATCACGGGACACTCTTCAGATACTTGAAATACTCTTCATATACTTCAAAGGTTCATTTGATTTCAAAAATTAATTTGAATTCATTTTTTTAAAGTTCTTCATTCTTATCTATTACAGGGTTTGAAGGTTTTTTCTTGATTTCTACCAAAATTTCCCCAAGTTATATTTTTTAACTATTGAAAAAAAAACTGTACCGATGCACATAAAAGCTAATCTGAAATTCTAGGCTCACCTCTACTACAAGGTTCAGCTTTGACAATTTACAATGGAAAATATAGTTTCATATAAAAAATTATGAAATATAAATAACGAAAAGGCAGTCACCAAGTTATGAATAAGATCTGTCCCTAAGAAGAATCTGTAGGTAAGTCAGAAGAGTTCTTATTTAGCTTTATTTTGGTGAAGGGGAAAAAAGAAAGATTCCCTGGTGGGACAGTTTCTTAAGTATATGGCTACTAACTGAACTGTCAGTGGCTGGATCCACCAACCACTCCAAAGAGAAAGCTGGGGAATTTACTCCTGTCAAGGTTTACAGCCCTAGAAAGCACCGGAGCGGTGTGACTGCCCACAGGATTGCTAGGAGTCACCATCAACTTGACAGCAGTGAGTCTTTTGTTTGTGTATTCTTTTTTAAATTCAGATTTTAATGAAAGTTTATAGAGAATGTGGATTTCTATTCATTAATTGTTGCACATTTTCCTCCCTGCCCGCCCTTCCCAGTTTACTTTTCTCTTTGGAAAAAAAAAAATTATTTCACTGTTGTACAATTCCCCTTACCCCAGTCCACTTTACTATGCAGCTCTTATTCTGGACTGTTGTCATACAAGTAATGTCTAATCATATATTGTTTCTGCTTTTTGAGTTAAGGCAATAAAAGCCTCTCAGGTTTGTCAGTGATTCAGAAGTTGTATAATTAGTAAGCCAAAGTGATTTGTGAAGCAGAACTAATCTGTGAGGCTGGTTCAGCCATTTTAAAGTGAGAACAAATTTACATAACATTAAAGGGCAAAAGCAAGCAAGTCTGACAATACATAACCAGAGACCTACTGCGCTAAAACCAAATGTCAAGCTGTAGAAAAGCAAGACTCATATCTATCTCACCATCAAATTAAACTATAATGCTTAATTCAAGATAACTGACATTTTTTTAAAAAAAAGATAGCATGAAAACCTTTTGTTGAGACTTAATAAAGCCCTCCTCAGTGCCAGGATAGGTTCTTTAGCTCTGTAGGAATTCTGCGTCATTTCCAGTCGAGCCACCCAGTTTAGAGAATCTTCTTGAGCACCCTCACTTGGAGACTGGTGGAAAAGTGGTCGGATGCTGTGCTCTAATTCACACAACATGTGCAGCCTGAAGAGAAAGAAAGCCCATGTTCAAAAGGTTTAATTGTTGTTTGTTGTTGTTAAGTGCTGTCGAGTCACTTGCAATAGTGACCCTATGTACAACAGCCCTAAACCCTGCTCTATCCTGTGCCAACCTTACTGTCTCCGACACACCTACCCCCATTACCGCAGTCACTGAATCAATCCATCTCATCAAGGGTCTTCCTCTTTTGCGCTGTCCCTCCACCCTCCCAAGCATGAGGTCCCTCTCCAAGGACTGGTTCCTCCTTGCAACATGCCCAAAGTATGCCAGACAAAGCTTCATCCTCTCCAGGACAAACTTGTCTGTTCTCCTAGCAGTCCATGGTATATTCAATACTCTTCTCCAGCACCACAGCTCAAAGGCACCAATTCTCTACCATCCCTAGTCACTGACCAGCTCTCCGATGCATAGCATGCAATTGCGAAAACTATGGTCCAGATAGGGCAAACCTTAGGCTCCAGCCTGACGGTGCTGCTCTTCAGTACTTTGGAGAGGTCCCAGATCCCCAACAGCTGACTTTACCAATGCAGTTTATCTCCTGATTTCCTGGCTGCTGATATCAATACTGTTGACTATGAAGCCAAGCAAATGAAAACTGTTCTCAATCTCTTCACCATCCATAAAGATGTTGCCAATTGGCCCAATGGTGAGAATCTTTGTTTTCTTGATGTTGAACTTCAGTCCATATCAAAGGCTGCAGTCCTTGACTTACTGCAGCAAGTGCTTCAGGTTATTCTGTTTCAGCAAGCAGGGTTGTGTCATCTGCATAACACAGGTTGTTGATGAATCTTCCACAAATCCTGATGCCACATTCCTCCTTGTACAGTTCATCGTCCCAGATGATCTGTTCTGCATACAGACTGAAAAGGTATGGAAACAGAATACAACCCTGGCGGACCCCTTTACCAACTTTGAACCATGTAGTGTCTCCGTGCTCGGTTCTAACAACTGCCTCTAGGTTCAAGTACAGATTTCGCATATGCAAAATCAATTGTTCTGGAATTTCCATTCTTTTCAGAGTCAGCCATAACTTGTTGTGATCCACAGTCAAAAGCTTTTGCATAGTCAATGAAGCACAGATAGACATTCCTCTGGTATTCTCTGCTTTCTGCCAAGATCCATCTGTTGTTTGTTGTTGTTGTTATGTGCCGTTGAGTTGTTTGCGACTCATAGCGACCCTATGTACAACAGCCCTAAACCCCGCTCTATCCTGTACCAATCGCATTGCCTCTGACACACCCATCCCGATTACCCCAGTCACTGAATCAATCCACCTAGTAGAGGGTCTTCCCCTCCTGCGCTGTCCCTCTACTCTACCCAGCATGATCCATCTAGCATTAGCTATAATATCCCTTGTACCACGGCCTCTTCTAAACCTAGCCTGCACATCTGGCGGTTCTCTGTTGACGTGTTGCTCCAGTTGTTTTTGGATAATTTTCAGGAGAATTTTGTTTGCATATGATATTAATGATATTTTTTTATAATTTCCACACTCTGTTGGATCACCTTGCTTTGGAATGAGAACAAATAGTCAACCTTAATGAATTCGTAGGTAAAGCATAAACTATGAAGACTCTGAAATGTGATATTTTTCTTCGGAAGAATTTTACCTAATATATATTCTTAGTGTATAAACACTGACATTTATATATTGCCCAAATGGGTGTATATACCAATTAATGCTGATTTAAATATTTAGTGCTTTGCTCTTTCCTTAAGTCACTTTTAATTAAATTGGTGAGGGGAACACATGACAAAATTCAAAATGTATAAAACATAAACTTTATGACTTACACGAAAACATTTTAAAATATGGATAGAAAAAAGGACTAAAGTCCATTAAGTGGAGAAGAGACAATCTCTTGAGTAAATAGTGCTGTCAAAACTGTAGAAAAACAAACAGAACCCACATTTCACACCACACCACACATAAACACTAACACATACTGGGTTAAAGACCTATTATGAAATCTAAAACTATAAAGATCATGGAAGAAAAAATAAGGACAATGGTGAGGCTCTAGTATAATTAAACATACTGTAAATGCACAAGCAGAAAAAGAAATAAAATGAGACCATTTAAAAATGAAATATGCTCATCAAAAGGTTTAATTTTTTTCTAAAATGGTATGAATAGAATCTACTTATTGGGAAAGAACCTTTGTTGATGTGTGTGATAAGGTTCTGACCTTTAAAATTACAGAAAATTTCATTATCTACAAACCAAAAAGACAATCCAATTTAAAAATGTGTAAAGGGTATGAACAGATACTTCATCAAAGAAAACAGAAAAAGGGCACTGATAAATTCAAAACAACAACAAACGCTGGTGAGGTTATTGAGTTTTACACTCTTAAATACTGTTGGTGGGACTATAAAATCACTTTAGAAAACAGGATAAACTTCCTTAAAAAGCTAAAATAGAAACACTATATCCCTGTCCCACTTTTAGATATATACTTTCAAAGAAAAAACAAAACAAAACCCAAACAAAAAAGTTAAAATGTGAACAGACATATATCCACCCATATTTGTTTTTGTTGTTCTGATGTTTTTTATCACTGAGTTGACCACAACTCACAACAGTGCTATGAAAAATGGCTCTAGACCTTGCCCTATCTTGAGCCAATCTACTGTCTTTGGTAAGTTTTAATCCATCTCACCCAGGGTCTTCCTCTTCTGTGCTGTCTGGCCCTCCATCCTTTCAAGCATGATATCCATCACCAAGGACTGATCTCTTCTGGCAATAAACCCAAACTATGAGAGAAGACATTTCAAAATCCTTGCTTCCAAGGAGCAACCTGGTTTAACCCTCTCCAGGATGAACCTGTTTGTTCTCTTGGTAGTCCACTGTTTATTCAATACTCTTCTCTAGTAGCACAACTCAAAGGCACCGATTCAACTTTTGTCATCCTTAGTCACTGTCCAACTATCAGATGCAAAGCAAGCAAGTGAGAAGGCCATGGTCTGGAACAAGCATACCTTAGTCCTTAAACAGATATTGTTGCTCTTTAGCACTCTGGAGAGATCCTTGATAGTAATTTTCCCAATGCAACTTCTCTTTTTATTTCCTGACTGCTGGGGTCAAAGATGTTGATTGTGAATCCAAGCAAGATGAAGAAATTGACAACCTCAAGCCTTTCTCAATCTATCATGATGACCCAGTGGTGAGAACTTCTTGTTTTCTTGATGATGAGATGCAATCCATATTGAAGGCTACAGTCTTTGACCTTTTGCAACAAATCCTTGAAATCTTCCACTGTTCTGGCAAGCAGAATTATTTCATTTGCATTACATAGGCTGTTGATGAGTCTTCCCCCAATTCTGATGCCACATTCTTTTCATCAAGTCCTGCCTCCTTAATGATCTGTTCCACATACAGGTTGAAACAGTATGAAAAAAGGATACATGCTGAGGCACTTCTTTCTAGATTTTGAACCATGCAGTGTTTTCTTGCTCTGTTAAAGTTTCCTGTCTAGATAAAGACTTCTATGAACACAATCAGGTGTTCTGCAATTCTCATTCTTCTCAACTTCAGCCACAATTTGATGATATCCACATAGTCAAATTCCTTTTCCTGCTGACAGAACATTCTTCTGTGATTTTTGGCTTTCAATACAAACCATCTGACATCATCAATAATATCCCTAGTGCCATGACCTCCTCCTTTTTTTTCTTTTTGAGGCTGAATTTATAATAATTTATTAGTTGTAAATAAGTTTTGGGGTTTTTTAAAAAGTTTTTTTATTTTAATGAAAGTTTACGCCATGGCCTCTTCTAAATCCAGTCTGTATTTCTGGCAGTTCTATGTTAAAGTACTGTGCTAGTCATTTTTTGATAGCTTTCAGCAAGATTTTGCTTGCATGTGATAGTATTGATATTGTTTAATAATATCCATATTCTGTAGATCACATTTTTTGGGGAATAGGAGTAAATATGGATCTCTTCCCGGCAGTTGGGTAGGTAGCTATCCTCCAGACTTCCTGGCACAACCTGGTAAGCACATCCAGGGCTATAGTGCAATTTTATTCACAATAGCAAAAAAATAAGTGCCTATAAATGGGTCAATGGATAAAAAACCTGTAGTATGAGTGCTTGAACACTAATGAACAAAGACAAGGCAAGCTGTGGGAAAATATCAAGAATATTCTTCATGAAGAATGCAAAAAGTCATTACAAAGAAGGAAAAGAAGAAAAGACAAAAATGGATGTCGGGAAGAAACTCTGAATATTGCACATGAGCATTGAGAAGCCAAAACAAAGGGAAGAAATAAAGTAGTTAAGGAGCTGAACAGAAGATTTCAAAGAGCCGCTCGGGGAAGACAAGACAAAATATTATAATTAAATGTGCAAGGAGCTGGAGTTGGAAAATCAAAAGGGTTGAACTTGATCAGCATTTTTTAAGGAGAAAGAACTAAATAAATTCAGGCCACTAGTTGCAATGCTTAAGAATGCTATGGGCATAAAGCAGAATACTGAATAATTCAGGAAGCATTAAAAGAAGATAGAAGGAACATCCAGAGACATTGTACCAAAAAGAATTGGTTGACACAGAAGAATTTCAAGAAAAAACATACGATCAAGAAGCAATGGTGATGAAGGAAGAAGTTCAAGATGCTCTGAAGGACTTAGCAAAAAATAAGGCCCCAGGAATTGATAGAATACTAACTGACCTATTTCAGCAAACAGATGCTGCCCTGGATGTGCTCACCAAGTTGCACCAAGAAATCTGGAGGACAACTACTTGGCAAACTGACTGAAAAAGATCCATATTTATTCCCATTCTAAAAAAAAGGTCACCCGACAGAGTATGAAAATTATCGAACAATATCACTAATATCACAAACTAGCAAAATCCTGCTGAAGATTATCCAGAAACACTGAAACAGTACATTAACAGAGAACTATAAGAAATACAAGCAGGGTTTAGAAGAGGTCATGGCACTAGGCACATTATTGATAAAGTCAGATGGATCTTGGCAGAA